AGCCAGCCTAATGCATGAGCCTGCCACTCACGCCGGAGTGTCCGCGTCACATCGCGCCGCTCTAAATATACCGGCGTGACACGATGCATCCTACCACAGCGAACTTCGCGCAACAGGAATAAGCTTTTTTAAAATAGCACCACACCGCTCCCAAACACACATATTCAAAATCAAGGTGAATCTCGTAAACGCTCGACGGTTTATTCTACAGTACAGTCGGAAAGTTTTTCTATTTCACAATTCTTTATCTGTGCGTGTTGTTGGTTGATTCCCTTGTGTAACAGTCTGCGAATAATGGATCCGTTCTCGATGTACATAACTCAAGCTGATTTGTTGCCGCCGATTATAATTCCGCGAAGGAAGAAGCGTTTGAAACAACTTCGGTTAGAGTTTGAGAAGGAGGCAGTAGGTTTTGATTGTTTTAATTATGTGCGTTCGTTTGTCTATTGTTTTGTGCATGATATAATTGTTGTTTGTGTTTGCGTGTAAACATTGACCGACTAATATAAACTTTAATACAACAGTATTAGAAATATGAGGAAAAACAACATGTTATTATGAGACAAGTGTTACAGGCATTTGATAAATAGTGTTAATCGAGGAAATTATTTTATTACTTTTAGTGTGCACACGTTTCTATCAAAAATAGTGACCGCCTACTTCCAGAATGTTTAACCTTATCCAGAGCACGTGTTTTGCTCAAAATACAGTTTGATATGAGTCATTACTTGTTTCCCAAAGCAGGCAAAGTGAAGCGAAAAACAAACTGCATTCCATGGTAAAATAAAAAGCACCAGTTCACACGAGGAATTTCGGTTGATTACGCATGTCTTAACATTTTCAATTTTGTTGAGTTTATGTTTTTATTGTAACAATTCTTTGTAAGTAAATGAAATACCAGATAAAACGTTTTTGTTAATTCTTTCTTTAAGTTTGTTGCAAAATACATGCAGTTTACATACGTAAAGTAACTTAGTTACATTAGACTGCAATAATATTTTTTCTACATTCCATTTAAAGTCTAAATCGCTTTAATTTCGCTTACGAAAGCGAAGTTTTGTTTTATTTAAGTAATAAAATAAACTCCAATAGATATCTCTCGAAGTCAATTGTATAAAAAAGAAATATTAAAAAAAATCAAATCTTATCAATATCCAGGTGAGCGTGAGTGAGACGGAGCGATCGCTGGTGGAACAGGAGTGGTTCCATGGGGTTCTGCCTCGGGAGGAGGTGGTGCGGCTGCTGCGAGCTGATGGTGACTACTTGGTGCGGGAGACGACACGCAACCACGCGCGGCAGCTCGTCCTCTCCGTCTGCTGGGGGCAGCACAAGCACTTCATCGTGCAGACCACTCCGGAGGTTAGTGACAATTGGATACTTACAATAGATAATTTCAACATTAGTTCTTATGTATTTTTAACTTCAATAGAAAAATAATTTAATACTGGAACTATTGGCAGCGGTCGCTTCGCCATTTTGGCGGATCCTGGTGGCCGCTTGCTCGTTTGTCACCTTATGATATAAAAAAATAAAAGTTGTTTTGGAGTTCATGAAATACTGCTCGAAGGACCAATATGTAAATGTGTTTATTGTAGGGCCACTACCGCTTCGAGGGCGCTGCCTTCCCGTCAGTAGGCGAACTAATAGCGTGGCAGCGCGCGAGCGGCGTGCCCGTCACCGCGCGCTCCGGCGCCCTGCTGCGCCGCGCCGTGCCGCGCGAGACTTGGGAACTTAATAACGACCACGTTATACTGCTGGACAAAATCGGACGAGTGAGTTTTACATATTCTTTGCATGTCATCATCATGAGCCCTTATCTGCCCACTGCTGGACATAGGCCTTCTCCAATACTTCCCACAGAATGTTAGCACGTGAGTTTATTTTACTACTAGCTGTCGCTCGCGATGGGTCCAAAATAAACATTTTAGCATGTGTTACTCTCTCATAACGTAGGTTTTTAATGGTGAAAGAATTTTTGAAATCGGCTCAGTATTTTTTGAAAGTAAAACATGCAAATCTTTCGCCTTTATAATATTAAGGGGCAGTACTACCAAATTCTCGTAAATTGCCTGATAATAACAATAATAAAAATATATAATAATAAAAATAATAATATATATAATAATAAAGATAATAATAAAAATTAAAATACGTGACGGAAATATAGGATTTTTTTGTTTCACAATTCAAGATACCGATAAATAAGAACCTGGTAGTTAGTAAACGCGGCAACGTCGCAAGGACGCTTAAAAGATCATATTCGGGCAGTTTTGTAAAAAACTTTATTTTTCAT